ATAACTAACATTAAAATCTACCCTAATCCTGTTCTACAAGTATGTAAGAAATAATTCAGCAGTGGTAAATTATATTATATTATTATTTAAAACTGTTTTCTGTTCTTTTATAGTTTTTGTCTCTATTCTCTCTTAATGAATAAAAATGAATTAGTCAAAAATAACTAAGTATAAGTCATTTGACTAATTGTCATAGCGAAAAGCAGTCACTAATAATTAGTCAAATTCTATGAATGAAATAGTCAAATTAGTAGATTTAAATTTAAAAAAAGTTTTGACCCAGCCGGGGATTGAACTCAGGTCTGTCACTTGTCAAGCTTGTCAAGCTGTTGTCATAACCCATTCGACCATCAGCCGCTCTTATAAAAATCAATTTTATTTGGCAATAAATATTGTTCATAATATTTTAAAGTTGACAATACAATTCATTAATATTAGAACCAATAAAATGCCAGTATTCCATAGTGACGTATTTTATCACAGCGGCAATAATTTTTATCATCTTGTTTACACGTTACTAAGAATTTTGACACTTTTTTTGATTTAACATCTGTTGTCATTTAAATTCTGTATTTGATATATATCAATAAAATAATGAATTATAAACTCTAAAAGATCGATGGGTTGGTGTAAACGATAATGAAATTAAGGTAAGTTTGAATAAATAAGGTTTATTAAAGTCTTTTTATATTTTAAAGCACATTTTAATTTTAAATGTCAATCTGACAAATTTTAGTACATAGTTAAAAAAAATAGAAGAAATAGAAGATCCCCTTGATGCGATCATTATTAGGTGGAACAATTTAAAATCATAAAAAAATATTTCTCCCCCTTGCTAAAATATTTGTACAACAAAAAGTAATAAATAAAGTTAAAGTCAAAAACGCTTACGCTCGTTATTTGCCCATGTTCGTAATTGGCAAAAGGTTAAAATTCAATCGGTTTGTTTCGTTCTGTAAGTGCGTATTAAAATGCCATTTTAGCGCAAACCCATCTCGCCGGAAGAAACGTAAAACGTAATCCCATAACGATTCCCCGCCCCCCGTTACCGCCGAATCCAATTGAACGCACAAACACAGACATACGTGAAAATGTAACTATTCTCTAATAAAATCGCGCACAGTAAATATTGATCGGGGATTTTTTAAATTAATATAAATAATTTGTTATTTTTTTATGAAAAACATACAAAATAAAAATTATTAATATGTATCTACCATAAAATCATTAAAAAAGCATTTTAAGTAAAATAGTCGAGTCAAAGGATTTTTTAAGGTAGATTTAACGTAAATAAATTCACTCTAAAGTACTTTTTACTTAAAAGTCATATTTTTTCTTTATCACTATATATAAATATTCATAATGACTTAAAAGAAAAAAAATAACTTTAAGTAAATAGTAAAACTGAAATGTTAATATTTCTGAACGACAATATTTAATTAAAATGGTGTCCCTAAAATGCCTGTCCAAAATAATACATCATATTCCTGCTCTCTTAAAATGAATTAGTCAAAAATAACTAATTACTAAGTCACATTTGACTAATTGTCATAGCGAAAAAGCAGTCGCTAATAATTATTTAATTTCTACTGAATGAAATAGTCAAATTAGTAGATTTAAATTTAAAAAAAGTTTTGACCCAGCCGGGGATTGAACTCAGGTCTGTCACTTGTCAAGCTTGACCCATTCGGCTATCAGCCGCTCTTATAAAAATCAACTTTATTTGTCAATAAAATTTATTTTTTTTATTTTTTTATATTTAATATTGTTCATAATATTTTAAAGTTGAATATATTATTTGTGTTGCTGTTTTGAGCTAAACTTTTTGCATTTTTATTTGTTTTTATTTACATTTAACCATGGAGCTTAGGTATGTATATGCATTTAATTCAAATAATATTTTGTTGTTGGCCGCAAACGATTAAAGAAATTACTTTTAACTCTTAGAAATAATCAAAGATGGTGACTAATCTTAAATTAGTCAAATTATAACTATTTACGTAGTAAAAAATAATATTTTTAGTGAAAACGACTATTTTATTAGTAAAAAATGCTGGTACTAATTCAAATAGTAGAATTTTGACTATTTCATTTTTAGAGAGTCGGACTAAAATAATGCAATATAACGTTTTAGTTTACTGTTAAAATTATTTAGTCAACTTATCAGTAGCTATTTTAATTAAAAAAAATGCTGCTTGGGAAGCATACTAATATTCAAGACAAAAATGTATTAATTAAATTAAAAGCAAAAAAATTTCTACAAAAAAATTAGGTAGGTACTATTACAGAAAAAAATCATAAAATAAATTAAAAAAATATTCACAAAAGTATATTTTTAACGAAACCAGTGTAAGTGTAATTCAATTTGATTGCCTTTGAGCTATAATTTTAACAAGCAATTAAATTCATTATAAAATTTATTTCATGTAACACAACCTTTTGTTTGAAATATTTTCATTAAAAATTTATTAAATACAAATCACACCTACCCCTGATTTTAAATATTCAGAGCATGTTAATATTCAACACAACATTAACATTGGCCCTCCAATATCATGTTTTAATTTTGCTCTTGCGTCATTGTGGGTCGATTCAAATCAGTGAAAATACCCGATTACCTACGATAGTTGAAAATGGAACGCGATTTCATCAGTTTCACAGTTTATACTCCAAGTTTCGCTCCCCATTTATCACTTGCCAACTTGCAAATTGACCATTGTTAAGCTTATATACAAGGTGGCTCAAAAGTTTAAAATATTGAGTGTAACTTTTGAAATATTAAAAATATTAAAAAATGATTTTAATAAAAGTTGTTTAATAGTTTGTTTCAAATGTTTAGGTGATATTACCAAGGGTGGCAATTTTTTTTATAGTATCCCCCCCTATTTAAAACAGAATTTAAAATAGGCTTTTTTCTTATTACAACAGTATATTAATATTATAATATAAGTATGTTACATAGGGATCCCTATCGATATTTGAGCAAAACAAGAATATGGTTACACAAAGTAGTTGAAGTAAGTTTTCAAAATGTTCGCACTGAACGGCAAGAGTGGCCTAAACGATTATTAAATTCTTGTTTTACATTTTGCAGCCAAACGTCTTAAACATTATGAGTTTCATCAATTATTCTTTCCCTGAGAACCTGAAAATTGCCCGGTCTATTTTTGTACACCACTGACTTCAAATGACCCTATAAAAAAATTAAAATGATGTTAGGTCTAGAGACCTAGCAGGCCACTCTATTGGCCCTCGTCTACCAATTCACCTGTTCAGAAATACCTGGGATAAGTATCTCCTTACTGCCAAACCAAAATGTGGTGGAGCACCGTCTTGCTGGAACCAAATGGTGTCCCTATATTGGTTCAATATTATTACACCCTTGCAATGCGTTGGGTATTTCCATTGTAACGGGTGCGACACTAAAACTGAGTTTTTTCATGATAATAAAGTGTTTATTCATATATATCAAGTTACGTTAATATAAAAAAATAGTATAAAATTTAGGTATTTAACTTAAACAAAATGTCAATAAAAACTTGTTTAGAAAACCTTTTATAACGTCATGAATAGCGTAACGGGCGCGACCTTAGAAAATTGGCGAATGAGACCAAGTTGGCTTCTAAAGTTGATACTGTAAAATTTTGGATGAAAGCATATAGTAATAATTTTTTGTGTAAAACTTGAAAAGTAACCTTAAACAAGCACGTATTTTAAATGCACAAAAATTGCATACTTTATTTTCTAAAATTTTCTCAAAATGTAACGGGTGCGACATTTGAACATTTTATCGAGTATTGAAACTCTTTCGTATTTATTCTTAATGTTAGCATCTTATCATCACAATGTACGAATATTTTAAGGTTATAAATTACGTCGCAATTAAACTATTTGACTTCGGATATACCTAGTTTTTATTTTGTTAAAGGTGGGGTAAGGTTTTATGGAAATACCCCGTTGTTATCAGAAAATTCAAATTCAAATTCTGATATAAAGAAGAGGGTTGTAATTAAAGCTACGTATTTATTTTTTTAAGTTGGCAATATCACCGTAAAATTTGAAATGAACTACCAAACAACTTTTATTGAAATAATTTTTTAATATTTTCGATATTTCAAAAGTTACACTTAATATTCCAAACTTTTGTGCCTGCCTGTAGTATACAGTATATATATATATATATTTATACAAGGTGTCTATTAATATCAAATTAAACCATTGTTTTCGTAAAAACATTAGTAAAAAAAATGGAACACAACATTATTTTAACAAAAGTTCTTAAATAAAATGAGGCTCAGTTTTGTAGACCACAGATTTCAAGTGACCCCATAAAAAAATCTTATGTTGTCAGATCTGAATATCTGGGAGGCAATTCTATTGGTCCTCTTCTACCAATCCACTTTAATTATGATCCAGCCAATTTTTCCTCTTTAATTTTCTAGTTCATTTATTATTACTGGCTGTATTGTTTCATCTAACATTTCAAAATAAATTTGAAAATTTAAATTTTGGTCAATAAATAAGGGACCAATAATACAATCTTCCAAAATTAAGTTTTTCAAGATACTTGGTATGATTATATCTAATGGTATGACAACTTTCATTGCTCCAATACCGACAATTTTTTTCGTTAACATTTCCATTTAGATAAAAAGTACACTAATAGCTAGAGCAAATGTTTGAATCTGATTTGTTATTTTATTGGTCATGATTTTACAAAATTTTAAACGCTTGTCTGCATCATCATTTCCAAGTTCTTATGTAATGTGTATTTTGAATCTAGATGCCGGATAAAAATAATTCAGCCGTTGTGTAAACCTTTTTGGAAAACTAACAATACTTTTTAAAACATTAAAACTAATCAGCATCAATAGCAGTATATGTTGTAATGATTTATTCTAAAGTGTTTACTCTGTGAAAACTCACAGGCACCATTTTTTCGTAATTTTCGTCATTTGCTGTCATTTTTGTTCATAATATTTTGTTTAAATTGTTTTCAGTTACACACTCACGAAGTCGTTGAAGTATGCGCGAAAATACTCTACCAAGTCGAACTATCGCGCAGCACTTTGGAACAAATGTGGGGCTTCAGCGTCGAGGCAGAACTCGTGGAAAATTCCGATAGACAGGACGAACTTTGCTGCTACGTCAGCAGAGTGGAAGACAAGAGTGTCGCTATGCAAAACGGTTGGTAAACATTATCATTTAACCCACTGACATTTAACAAGAATTCGAAGATCGTTTGCATTTTAAAATATGACACTGTTATTTCTTTAATTAAAATATATGGTTTTATTATATTCTCTTACAGTAGAATGTCTTCATAACTAAGTAAATGAAAAGTTGCTGTTTTCAAATCGCTGAATTTGCCAAAGCAGACAAAAAGGGAAGTTGACAAGTTTGCTGAGCACTTAAACGTTTTAGGAGTTTCAATTTAAAAATTATTGGGATTTGGGTTTATTCAAGTCAAGATAAAACTTATTGGGCTTCTTTATCCGAAACAATGAATTGGTCGAAAATATTATACAGGGTGATTCACCTAACTTATTCATTGGAAGTTTATGGAGAACTGAAAAAGATATCAATTTGAAATTTGTATAGAAATTATAAGGCAATGTAAACTATTTTTTTAAGTTATTTTCCATGCGGTTAAACCGGAAGTGATATCAACTTTTGTTTTTCAAATGGAACCATATAAATATTATTGCATTTTTAGAAATACCAAAATTTTAATAGGTACTTTTTTTTTTATTTTTATCGGTTTTTTAAATATTTAATTTTTTTCAAAAATGGATTGATGGTCTTACTAATATGTCTGTATTACCACTAATTGTAATGTTAAAAAAGTTAATTTTTGGTGTACCTGTTAACAAAGGAGCACTCTATTGAAAGCCATTAATAGTATTTTAAAATTTTATACTTGGTCTCTGGTATTTAAGTTGACTTTTTTTCCACTTTAAATACTAATAACTTTCTTATTTCAAACGAAACTACCATACAATTTTCACATCATTCGACACAAAATATTGTTTTCTATTCAAATGCTGCAGCATTACCTATACACAAAATGAATATTACAAGAGATATTACAAAAAATGTTAAAAACCGCCTATTTTTTTATTTGTAATATCAGTAGTGTGCAATGGATTGTCTTTTATTTCGTATTTATAAGGTAATGTCAATGTCAACCTCTCTGACAATTGTGTTACAATGGGTGATAAATATTACAATAATTAAGATATTTTAATAGTTATTTATGTATAAAGGGCATAATAAGGTTTTTATGGTCCGAGGCGCAAGGGCTAGAAAAGCGTCGTAGGACCATAAAAACCAAATATGCCAGCACTGCATACAAAACTTTATGCACGATTAATATCTATATTATTATCATTAATATATTATTGTTTTTAAAGACGTTTACGTCAAAGAATTTTTGTTATAATTGTCATATTATAATGTCAACTGACATCAGTCAGTTTTAAAGTTTAAATATGAATGAAATTGAGGAAGCAGCTGAAAAGGCGAAAAATTGCGGCCTGCTGCCGGAAAAATTAAAATCTTTATACGAAAAAACTTACTTCGAATATATCAAATGGTGTAACATTGTTTTTTTTAATTTTTGACGTTTCATTATAGCCCGCTGGGTCATAATAACGCTCGCGGGCTATAAAAAGACGTTTACGTCAAAGAATTTTTGTTATAATTGTCATATTATAATGTCATCGTGCATAAACATATTTTATACATGTCGAGTGCGAAAAAGTTTTAAAAAGAACAATTAGGGTCTATGATGCTCTAGATAAATTAAAACCTTCGCTAGCAAAGGCTTCACGAGTTAATTTTAGAAAAGATTTTTTGACTCAAACATATAATAAAAAGCTCAATCTCTCAAAATAGAAACCAAGAAGTTAGGATCGATGACATATTGAGTTTGGTCTCCCACAAGGAACCATCTTGGCGCCCTTGTTATTTATAATATATCTGAACGACCTCCTTGAACTTAAAATAAACGGCGAGATCATCTCGTTTGCGGATGATACGGTAATATTTATAAAAGGAAACCCTTGGGAAGAAGTAAGAGTATATAAAAGCCGTAACAGATCTACATACAATAAAATCCTTTTTTGATAGTCATCTCCTTTTGGCTCATATCTTAGGTCCTTGCCCGCATACAAGTCCATAAAAATCGTAGACAATTTGGAAATAGAATATTTAGGAGTACACCTAGATTCTCATTTCAAATGGGATGCCCATATTAGTCAGTTATGTAAACTCGGTACTAAAATATGGCATACTAGCCTGGGGAGGCATACTTAAAACACCTTTAAATAATCTTGAAAGGGTAAATAGAAGAATTGTTAAAATGATGTTTAAAAAAATTTATACTACTCGGGTAGCTCCCAGACTGTACAATTTTGCCTATCTGTTTAAAAAATAGTAAATATATAACAAATAAAAAAATTAGTTTGGTTATTTTAACAATCCTTATATAAAATAGATTATTTTATTGAAAATGGGGCTTTATCTTAGGTTTGATATGACTTAATTTTATATGATATATTGTCGTATAGGTTTTATAATTAAGAATAATGTTATGTTCTATAATTTATGTTTATTATAATTATTAAATATTTATGTATACGTTATTAGTTTATTAGCACCTACAACAAGCATTCTCGTGCTTAATGTGGAGTGCTTTTATTTATTTAATTTCTAAGTTCTACTATAGTTTTTTTATTTTAAAATTGTACACATAAAATTCATATTGTACTTATTTATTAAATAAAGATTATTATTATTATTGAAAATAATCTTAAAAAATAGTTTACATTGCCTTATAATTGCTATATAAATATTATAAATCAATATTTTTTTCTGTTTCCCATAAACTTTTAATAAAAAAAGTTAGGTGAATCATATCAGCCAAATGGAATAAATTCGAAAATACATAAAAACACGTCGCGTATTTTGGTATTTTTGCCTATTTTTTTTAACAAAAACTTGTTTTACAAGGTGTGTCATTTAGCAGTGGCTAATACCCTGTATATTATTACATTTTTGGATTCTTCTAAAAATCAATCAAAATTATTCTAAAAATCAATTCAAAAGAATGCGCAATACCAATCGTGATACCAAACGACGTGTCCAAAAGTGTTTTCCATTCATGTATTATTAAATAAATATATTAAAACCCAAAGAAAAAAGAATGAAGAGGATTGTAGAAATCCTTTCTATAATTATTTTTATTTCATCCCCTTTGTTTTTTTAATTTTTTATTTATAATAATGAAATAATTTATAAAAATATGTTTTAGTATCCAGAGTTCACATTTTTATTTTATCTCATCTATATTTCTACAGCGTCTTTATAATTAAAAGTAAACTTCTAAAAGTTATACTGTCAGAACAAACTCGGTCTTCAACTTAAACATAAACTTTTTGCATTACTAAAGGTGCCAATCTTCTTTATAATAAGGGAATTACATTTCTTGTATATTAACTAGAAAATATTTTTTGCTTAAATCTTTCAAATCCATTGCAAAATGGATAGCAATTCAAAATAAAAAAATGCAAACTTGTCAACTTCTTTGTATAAAACTAATCTTCCTCCTTCCTAAACAAACTCTATCTTTAACTTAAACCTTAAAATTTTGCATAGGCATTATTAAAGGTGACGAGATAATGGTGATCAACGGAGCCATCGTCAGCGACTTGGACATGATGTACCTCGAAAGCGTGCTGCAAGAAGAGCTGGCCCTCTGCATGATGATGCGCTCGTCCAGGACGGAACCGCCGGACTTGGCGGGCATTTTGCGTGCCACCGACGACATCATAGACAGCCTGGTTTGTCCGCCGCCTCCGTCTGAACCGCCCGCCATCAGCGAGGAGATGATCTCCGGACTCATCGTTCCAGCACCAGGTTTTAGTGAGTAGAGTAGAAATTATCAAATTTGCGTGATATTTACGGTTTACGATTTTAAAAAAGTTTTTGCCATTCGATTTTTGCAAGCATGAAAATTTCATGTTCTATTTTTAAACTGATTGAGTAGGACAATTGTATCAAATTGTCTCCAAAATATTGCAAATGAATTCATGTCCTCGGGCAGATAAAAATTGTGTTTTAATTGAGGACAAAAGTCATTTTAAATGTTAAAATAGCGAATAATATGGGACGTCCTTTTATTTTTTATTCAGGAATTATTTTTATTTGTTAACACTTGTAACGAACGGGGCTAGGAGGGCACGTTAATAATTAGAAAAGAATATTAAAACCACAAATAACTACCTTTGGCCAAAACGAAATTAATTTAGGACACCTTTTCTTGTGAATACGGTTCTGGATACGTAAGTACTTGAACAATTGAAAAGATATTTTAAAGCAAAGAAAAAGTATTAAATTAAAATAAGTCTATTAATAAAGGTAATTAATACAAGAGTTAATAATATTGCTACTGTACATTAATAATATAAAAAAAAAATTATATTTAAAAAGTTTCATTGATTTAAGTTAATAAGGTAAAACCTATTCAATCCAGACATGCATATATGTCGCACATATCAACAATATAAGTAATACAACAAAATCAAAGTAATCAATGTATGTATCATATTGCTAAGATTATTTACCTACATAAAGCATAGGCTCAACAACAGTGTGAAACATAAAGTATAATATAACTTGGTTACAAACAACAATAATAAATGGTAGTGGTAAATAATAGTTATTTATGTCATTAGGTTAAGAAGTAAGGCTTTTTGTGCTAAGCTCAAAGTTTGAAGGCCGACGCGTAGCGGAGGCCTACAATTGAGCGAAGCACAAAAAGACACTTCTTGGCCGAATGGCATACAACATTTTATCTTCAAAGCACTTTATATAGGTCAATTTAATTCAACATGAAAGTGGCATAACCTCACTTTTTTTAATCTCATTTATTTATTAGCTAAAGATTACATTAAATGTACAATAATTATTATTCCTTTTAGAAGCAGTAATAGTTTGACAATACCTAGCTACATGATTTAAGTAGAAATGGATTTTTGTAAGAAAATGGTTTACTTACCCTCTTGCTATTACATTGAATTCAATTAATTGTTTAATAAATAGGTATCTAATTTCAATTTGTTTGCATTTTTATTAAAAAATAGGTAGTTTGGAATGTTTACGCTGTGTTTAACATTTAATTTTACTGAAAAGTTAAAGCAAATTAAAATTTAAAGATAATTTAAATCGTAGAAAAAGAAAACACAACTGTGAAACGTCAAATTGCAATGTCCTAACCTCACTTTTTATTTTATTATTCATATTTAATTTTACAATAATTTAATGAAAAATATTAAACATTATAATGTTATAACAGTAAAACAAACAAATTAGTGCTTATTATAAATAAATTAAACCAGTTTAGTACGTTAATTTCTTAGAAAAGGATTAATTTGTCAAAACAATACCCCTAGCGAGAAAAAATCGAACTAATTACTTGCCTCATAAAAATTTTTATCGGCCTAGGCCATAACAAGGTATTTCTTTATCGAATGTTGACAACAATAAAGTTTAAATTATAGACCGCGTGGAGATAAAATATATAAATAACAAGTGGTATAGTGGTGGAGAAGAGTTATGCAATAAAATTGATGTACAGTCATAAATGATAAATAAAATCAGGTATGATAAAGTAATAAATTTATATCAGTGCAAATCAAATATAGCAAAATAAAATGATTATCAATAATAATAAAATAAGACATGTCACAAAAACTCACATCATGGGTCCTACCTAACGTTCTTTGTAAAAATGGGTGAATTGATAATTACTGGTAACACCGTTAAACAATAGAAAAAAATTCTAACAAGTATTTGTTGTGCCGAAATTGAAACAATAAATACAATAGAAGAACAAGTTGAAATAATAATAAAATATAGTTTAAATTAAATATTTAACCATTCATTATGGTATTTGTGACCTATAATAATTATAATAAAAATAAACATACCTACTTATTTATGACACAAACTGATTTCATATTTAAACATTGAACTTGGTTTCTCAGGAGTTAAATTCAATACTTTACAACAATTAAAGAATTCAACTATTCTCTTCAAACAGCAAAACGTAACTATCTCAAAAATACTGTCTTATCTAGGTTTTCTACACGCTCTTTTTAAATGTTTATTTTCCAAATAGGAACTGTACCAAAACTTGCTTTCTGTAACGACCACTTGAGGGGTCGGACAGATGGGAATTATAAACTACAATAGTATAATAAACAAAATAAAGAGTGTATCGAATTATAAATAGAAAAGTCATACCTAACACTTAATACAATTTTAAAACAAATATTTACAATTTAATCTTATATTTCATAAAGCTTCAAAGTTTAAACTACCAAATGTTAAAAGTTAACTGCCCCATATATCGGTCCCATTACACACTAGAGTGATACTTTCAATTAGATAAAAAATATCACATAAGAATTTTTATCCTGCGAATTAATAATATCATAGCAGATATTTTAAAATAAGATTTAATTTTTATGCCAAACTGATTATTAATTTAGTGAATTTCAAATATTTGCCTAATTAAAAATATCATAGGAGCTAATTTTTATTAAATATGAAGATATTTTTAATTGAATGTGAAATTTTTAATTCCGACTGTAAGAGTTTGGATACCCCTAACTAACGTGCAATGTCCTTGTTCAGACACGCTGGGTAGCGACATAATTAGTTTGGAATACCAGGGGTGTCCAAACTTTCAATATGAATTAAAAATATCACATTCAATTTAAAAAAATTGCATATTGAAAAAAATTCAAATGAATTAAAAATATCTCCTATGATATTTTAATGCATTTAAAAATTTCTCCCATGATAATTTTAATTTAGCGAATTAAAAATGTTTTTAACAAAAAATACAAATTTAATTTTTAAATATGTACTATCATATTTTTAATTCGCAGAATAAAAATTCTTATATGATATTTTTTATCTAATTAAAAATATCACTTTAATGTTAACACATAAAGAATAAATCCTGAATAAAAAATAAAAAGCCCCATGGAATAATATTTTTTTATTTTAACAATTTAATATTTAGTCAGAATTTCCTTTCTTTCTTTCTTCAGCAATTAAGGTATTGCTGCCTTAAATAAGCTTTGTACATAGAAAGCACTAAATATTATCAAAAATATTTTCAAATAAAAAACTTTCAGGCAAAGATCGTTATTCTTCCGACTTGAACGGGCATTCGGTTAGCGTGACCGACTCCGGCATCAAGGTGAGCTCTCGAACAAACTCCTTGGAGATCGAGAATCTGCTGAAGAGTGCCGGCGAGGTGACCGGTTTCTGCCGGTCGCCGGCTGAGACGAGAAAATCCAGCCCGACCGGCAGCTTGGTAAGCAACCAATCGCAAGCGATACTGACCCCCAGCCGGCAGCTAACCGACGCCGAGAAGTTGAGAAAGGTGATTTTGGAACTGGTGGATACGGAACGGGCTTATGTCAAGGTAAGAGTGAAGCCTGATTTATAGATTGCCTTCCTTCCTTCCTTTTCCCCGTAGAAGATGAACAATACGAAAACCGTAGTGCTGTTTATAGATTTCTGTACCCTAAGAATGACCTTCCTTCCTCCCGTAGAAATTTTCAAGTTTTATCTTTCACCGTAAAGGTCTCATGTCAAACCAATCACACTACTTGATATAGACATGCGCTATACGTATTCCCAAGCAGCATTTTTGGTTCCAAAAACCATTACCAAAGTGGTGATAACTTTAAATTTGTTAAGTATACTAAACAGCTACTTTAATTTATACTTAAAAGTAATTCTAACTTTTAAATAGCAATATTTTGTAACATAAACTTCATTATTTTCTTAAATGGTTGCTATAAAGTAATAAACATTTAAGTAAAACTTGGTTCCTCCAAGAAGACTTTGCAACTTTAAAAAAGGTGTTATAAGTAAAAAAAACTTTCAAGTAAATTTAATTTGTAGCAGTTACTTTCGGTTGCTACCTTAAGATTACATTATAATTATTTTTACTTTGTAGTCCCTTTGCAAGTTAAAATCTCGAAACTGGAACATGAGTGAAAAACTACAAAGTTAATAACTTAAAAGTTATTATTTTAGTATTTGGAACGTTTATGGTACTAACCAAAACTACCGTAAAGTAAATTAAGGTGGAAAAAATCTTTAAAGTAGCGAAAACTACTTCAAAGGAAAATGCTTCTTATCGTTCTTATTTTTTACTGTACAGTACCACGTGGTAATGTAAATATTAAATTATTTTAATTGTTTGTAAATGGTTGTTTACTTTTTAAATAAAAAATTAATAATAAATATTAAGATTTTTTTATTTATATGCGTTATTAAATAAATAATTTGTTTACTCTCTAAAAATGAATTAGTCAAAAATGACTAATTTAATAGTTATTAGTGGCTGCTTTTTCACTTGTCCCATGGTTAACCTTGGAATACCGTGGTATCCCAAAATTTAACACCCAATTATTATGTAAAATTGTCCCCTGAATCCGAAAATACCGTCAAAAATTATGAAGGTGGAGCAGTTTTTAAGATATAGTCAATTCCATATTAAATGGAAAGTTGACTATATCTCAAAAACTGTTCTACTTTTTTAAATTTTGACGACATTTTCAGATTCAGGGGACAATTTTATATAAGAATTGGCTGTTAAATTTTGGGATACCATGGTATTTCATGGTTAACCATGGTACAAGTGAAAAAGCAGTCACTATAACTTTTAAATTAGTCATTTTTGACTAATTTATTTTTAGAGAGTATACTTAAATATTGATGAAGCACATTTATTTTACAAGTACTAAATTCATAAGTTCAACAGTAAAATTTAAAGGGTTTATAAATTTACCTGCCTAATTAAACATTATATTGTTATTCTGTAAATAATAAACTACCAGTTCATATTTAATAAACGACGACATTGAAAAGCCAAGTCCGTTCCAAATAGTAGCATGGTTTATAGCTAGTGACATATTTGTTACCTTTTAGGAACTTAATAATTGTTCCCCACTTAATTCGTAACGAAGTAATGAAAGAGTAATATAAAGAGACCGGCGACTGTCGCAAAACACTTTTAAGTTTCCTCAATAGTCCCATATACGTAACAAATACTTAAATTGTTGCTTGGGTTATTATTAAGAAAGTGTACTTGAGTTAAACTTTTACCTACTTTTACATGTTTAGTTTAAATAAATAAAATAATAAATTAAAAAAATTAACCATGATGTAAAGTATTTTAAAATATGATTACTTATTTCAAACATAAAAAGTACACAAATATTTATTTAAATCACTTAACCCCCTTCCGTTACTAAATACCAAATAATTTTTGAAAAAAAAATATATCAGAAGTAAATTTTTGCCTCTCAGACCACTGTGCTTTGGCTTGCAACCGTGATATTTTCATTTATGTTCTCCTTTCAGCATCTAAACAATCTATTAGAAAACTATTTGGAGCCGCTGAAAAAAGAAACATTCCTCTCGAACGCCGAAATAAACGCTTTGTTCGGCAACATTCAAGAAATAGTCACATTCCAGAGGCAGTTCCTGCAAAACCTCGAAGAATCGACGGAAATCGAACCCGATTTCCATAAATTAGAATACAGTAGCCAATTCAAGGTAAAAAGTATTGTATGAAAAAAAGCTTTTGTCGTTACCTCGTTACGACGTAGAACCTCTTGGAAATCACACGCTATTTAAATCAATAAAACCCAAAAAAAAGCTTTCGCAGCAGAGTTGCAAAAATGTTGATGTAAAAAATAATGCCAGCGTAATTTTTTTTAATGGTAATGTAGTTTGAATACATTAATTATTAAAAAAAAATTGTTATGAGATATATTTTCAGTACTGATTAAAAAATTAATGAGTAATAAGAAACTGTATATTACACATTAAAAAATGTGTAACGAAAGACATTACCCATTAAATCAGTGAAAATGATCAGGGGTGGGAATTGATGGGATCCTTAAACTTTTTTGTTATTATACAAATATTTAAGAAATTATGGATAAGAAGTAAAAATAGACACCAATTAATTATACTTAAAATTAAAGCTTTGTTTAAAGCAAAATACCTTTCTTAGATTAGACAACTTTTTTGACTTCATAGGAAAATATTTTCATTAATCTGTATGATTCCGGTCTTCGTAAACATTTTCTTGAAACATCAATATACCAATTATGTTTTTGGTTTTTATAGAAATACATATTTTTTTTTAAGATTACTAATTTTCATAAAAATTAATCTTTTCCTTCAATAAAGGTGAGTATTAAAATAAAAATAAACAATATTTTCTAATGAAATTAATTAGGTACTTTTAAATAATACATTATTTTCTCTCAGAAAGTCCATACTTTTTCTAAAATATTAATTAGGTACACTTCTATCTATTGCAAACCGTGAAAATGTGTCATTCAATAAATATACCTTGCCCACTAAAAATAGGTAATTCGATACTCATTCATTTTACATTAAAAATAAAAAAATGATTAATGTAAAGCGAGTCCATTACTCATTTCCATAAAAAAAATTAATTGTAAATATAAAATTACTCATTATATACACTGCGCGTCAAAATTAACGCATAATAAGTAAAAAAATTCTACTCTAAAACGCCTTTACCAATCTTTATGAAATTTTGTGTAAGAATACTTCAACTTATATAAGAATACTTCATATCTCAGTTTTTTTTCGAGGGTTTTTCGAAAAAATATTTTTAAAGCCCTTTTATTTAATATTTAAAAAACGCTCGAAACAAAACTTTCATAGGGACTTTTTTTAAGTAAATAAAAAATATGCTGTTAAAGACCGTATTTTTGTTAGTATACCCTGAAAATTTTGTACGAATCAAACGAAGATCGCTAAAAATGACCCCTTTTTGATTATTTTTCTGAAAAGTGGTCATTTTTACCGACTTAGAAGCGCTGTATCTTCGTTACTGTTCGTTTGATTTGTACAAAATTTTTAGGGTATACAAAAATTACCTATAAAAGTTTTTTTCGAGCGTTTTTTATAATATTAAATAAAAGGGCTTTAAGGATATTTTTTCGAAAAACCCTTGACCACGTAAACTGAGATATGAGTTAAAATATTTTTATCCAAAATTTTATAAAGATTGATAAAGGCGTTTTAGAATTAGAATTTTTTTACCTAATATGCGTTAATTTTGACGGGCAGTGTATTAAAAATATATTATATATCTATAGGTAATGTAAAAAAAATAATTTTCATAAAAAAAATAATGCATAATAAAAATTAAATTATTACTCATTATTTTAATAATGAGTATTGAATGAAACCTTAATTCATTATTTGCAACTCTGTTTCGCACATATAATTCCCTAAAGTGCGACAAAAAGTAAAAATCCTTTTTTTGTTTCAGAACGTCTTATTTTCAATTGGAAGCGCATTTCTGTATTATGTAAATCATTTCAAGCTATACAGTTCGTTCTGTGCAAGCCACAGCAAAGCGCAAAAAGTTTTGCACCCGAGTAAGTAATTTAAACTTTTAAACTAGAAAATCGTTATCAAGTAGCGAAATTTGCATGAACTGGGCACATTTTTTGTTTGTCTTTCTACATCACTTTTCTATTGCTATATTTAAATATTAAAAACCAAATATTTCTTTTAAAAATTATGCTATTGAGTTAAAATGAATCATCATTATCTTATAGACGAGGGCAACCAAGCTTTGCAGGAATTTTTGGCGGCCAGGAATCCAAAACAACAACACTCATCAACATTGGAATCCTACCTAATCAAACCAATACAAAGAATACTAAAATACCCGTTGCTGTTGCAACAACTTAGAAATTTGACTGACTCCACCACGGACGAACACCAACACTTGGTGGAGGCGTTAAAAGGCATGGAAAAAGTGGCCGAGCACATTAACGAAATGCAAAGAATACACGAGGAATACGGCGCCATATTCGATCACCTCTTCAGGCAACACCAGAAGTCCTGCAAGCAGACTATAGATCTGAGTCCTGGGGATCTTTTGTATTACGGTGGAGTGGAGTGGTTGAATATATCGGACTTCCTGGGAAAAATTAAAAAGGGTCTCGAATTGCACGCGATGTGCTTTGTGTTCAAGACAGCCGTTGTTTTCTTATGCAAAGAAAGGCTCAGGCAGAAGAAAAAGTTAATGGTAAGTTGTTCTTGAATTTTGCAATTATAAAACTATCAAACATTTGTATGGCACGCCGTTTTAACAGTTATTAAATAATTTTTTAATTTAAAATTTTCCTAACTAAACAGTTTAGGTTTACATTTATAAATGTATAATATTTTCAACTATCATGTATTGAAAGACAAAGTTTATTAACTAACAGTTTACTTCTGTATTAAATAATTTTTTAGTATTTAAAAATAGTGTTGAGAGATTTAAAATACAAACACATATAAAACATTTTCTACCAAAATAGTTTAAAAAGTTAAATTTTTTCATTCCCAAAACAATTGATCAAAATTGGAAAAGGCGTTTTGGAGTTTTTACTTAATTTTAACGCGCAGTGTATAAAATGCAAATGTAAAAGTTTAAGTTTAAAATATTTTTTTTTTTAAATTATAAGTTTAATATTTTACTGTACAAAATTATTGGTTTAAATTTGTCATTTAAATGATAGTCGATAAATTTTTAATATAAAAATTCTCACATTATATTTAAATGTTAGTTTTAAACTTAAAAGTGGTAATTTTTTATTCAAAAATTGATCGACCATCATTTAATTGACTCTTGAGAAATTTAAACCAAAAACTTTTTTTTTTACAAATTTAAATTGATACATTTTTAAAACAAACATATTCACATTAAATATAAATGTAAGTCGATAATTTTTAATTCACAAAGTGTAAACGCTGCTTTAGCTGACTGCATATCGTCACCCTAATATAACATGGTTGTGTGTTAAAAAACCGAAAAATTTATGAGTTTATGCTTCTACAAGGTTTTATGTAATCCACCCTTGACATACAACTTGAAAATAACTATATATGTATACATAGAATATACATTCTATAGAATTATTTTTAAGTGGTATGTGAAGCGTAGGCCACGTATAATCCTGTAGAAACATAGACTTAAATTTTTCGTTTTTTTTAACATGCAACCTTGTTTTGTACGTTTCACCGACTATATATGGACTATGCTCTTAAAATTGACCACTCTAGAAAGAGACAGCGTACGCCGTCTGCTAAAGTTACGTTCACACTTTTTAAATTAAAAATTATCGACATTAAAATATATTTTATAAATTTTGTGTTAAAATGGTAAGAATTTAAAATGGTTAAAAATAAAAGTTTTGGTTTTAATTTGTAATGATGGTCGATAAATTTTTAATTCAAAAATTACCACTTTAAAATTTAAAACTTACATTTAAATGTAATGTGAAAATTTTTTCATTTAAATGACTCTTTACAATTTTAAACCGAAAATTTTGTAGACTAAAATATTTTAACTAAAATTTTAAAAATCCATATTTTTAAGCTTAAATTTTTACAGTTATATTTTTTGTTAAAGAAAATTGTCTATCAATTGAGGAGCGATCAGACAAATCGAGACAAATCCATTTTATTTATTTATTTGCAGAAACAAGTCAAAAATAAAAGAATTCTTTTTCTTTTAAATTATTTCTGAAAATCACTCAAATGTATTTGTCTCGTTTTGTCTGAACGCTGATTAACAATTGAGTTAAGAGTTTAAAAAAGTTTAACTGTGTAAATTTCTGTTAAAACATCATTAAAGTGAAAAACTTTAATCTTCAAACTATAGCTATATTATCTAATAAATGGTAAAACGGCGCGCCATACATTTCTAATTACTTTTAAAGTGTAGCATTGCTTATATAAAATATAAAAAAAGTTTAAAACTCCTATCCTAGCAAAACTATCGTACATAATTAATCTTCATATTTCAAAGTGTTAAATACAGCTAATTATCTGAACTAACTTGAAACTTTCGGAATATGCCAAATCACTTCTATACGTATATATGTATACATAATATTATATTTAGAAGGAAAGTTTGAGAGTTAGCATAGTTATCTTTGGATAATCTTAAATTTGCATGCAAAACCAATAGTAATTATTCATTTTAGGGCGTGACGAGTAAAAGTTCATCATCAGAAGTGGAAATAATCCGGTATCAAGTCCTGATTCCGGTCACTGAAGTCCAGGTTCGGGCTTCGTCGGCCAAGGATATGGACTCGCACTTCCTGTGGGAGTTGATACATTTAAGAAGTCAATTACAGAGACGATCTGAAAAGGTTTACGTGCTATCCAACAGGTAAATATTTTTAATTTTCTTACCCAAGTAACACATGTGACTCTTGGTTTTTACCTAAATATTATATCAAAGCTTTATCACACTCTTTGAAAAGAAATTTGATTTTATGGGAGTTATCACCAAGGTTAATTGTTCTTAGAACCATATTAATTTAATAAAAAGCTTTATTAGCCACAACAAAACCTACTTTTAAAACCATAACACGTTTATGGATAAGTGGAAGAACAATCTCTGATTGAACTTCGCCTTTTTGATGTTTGGATGCTTATATCAAATAAAGTCGTTTATTATTATTATTATTATTACGCTTTGCTATATTATTGGATGTCATTATACCCTTATAAAACCATAT